GGAAGACTGAATCCTCATGAAATGAGAAGGCGATGTAAAATGATTAAAAACAGACACAAGCCACCAGTTAGCATGCAGACTTCCTCCTGACACTGAAGTTTCTGCTCTCTAAGTCTACAATGACTCAGAAGCTATAACAGGAGCTCACATGGCTTTTCTTTCTTCAGATATAGGTGTCCAGACAGGGCAGGAATTTGCCCCCTGGTGTTACTCTTTATTAGTTTCTTAGATTTAGCTGCTGTAGGATAATGTAAAAATATGACCTCAGCTCAAGTTTACCGTGTCTTGAAAAGTCATATTCCATTTGGAGGAATCTATGATGCATTTGCAAGGAGACCTAGTCACTTTGCAATGAGCACCCTTGAATTTTGAGTGTTATTTCAATAAAGATATTTTACATTATAATATATGATCCAGACTACAAATAGAAAATAGTAAAACATAAATGTCATAGAATTTTACAGTTCTTAAGGGCTGTTTTATGTGCCATGAATAGAAATAATGACACTGTGTAATGAAGTAATTTTATAATCTAGGGAAGACAGAGCCTCACGTGCTAAGCCATCTGTCGCACATGGTCTCTCTGGACTATCTCTGACACTTGCTCGGACTTATCTTCTTTTTGGAGTCCCAGCCAAAGGGAAGTCATTTGGGTAATGCCACTGCATCACTCAAGATCGCTTTCTTTCCAGAAGCTCAGACATGAGAATGGCTGTTCCGAAAGTCAAGGCAACCGTGGTTGATCACTCTACCCCTGAAGCCCACGGCCCCCTTGGAGGACACCCCTAGCATCACACATGTTATCCTACTGACACTGTATTTTCCAGATCTTCTAGATACAACTTGTCATTACTCGATGCTTGTTGAAGCATCTTAAAAAAAAAGAGAGATGACAAATTCATTAGAACAAGGCACATGATGAAATACAAGAATTAAGTTCAAATTACTTAGTCTTGAGCTCTTCAAGTCAATAGAGCTGTTATAAAATCATGTTCCTACCAAAAAAAAAAAAAAAAAGCTACCATTGGATGTCTCCTGAGTACAGATATGAAAGAAAGAATTTTTCTCTCTGATTTTGAACATCCTGCAGACTTCTGGGCTATTACATTGAAGTGCTCTTCGGAAAGAAAGCACAGCTACAGATTTCTCAGCCTCCCTCCTGTGTTTTTGAAGCTTCACATCTCAGATGTAAAAATCTCACTTGAGAGTCTCATATAAAAGGTACTCTCAAGATTTATTTGCTTTTTAATATTATAAAATTGCAACAGAAATTGGTTTGGTATTTTATCGGACCCTGTACTCATGAAGTTAGGCTTTAAGGGGTTGAAGACTCTTTAACAATACTTATCCAAATTAAATATTTCTAAATAATATCACAGAATGGGTGAGACAATGGACTATAATTTTGTGCTCCAGTAATCGTTTCTGGTATTCTTGTTTTTAAAATTTTCTTTGACATAGTACTCAGATGCATTTTTCTGAAAACAAAATCTACCAAGGATGTTCTCGGCTTTCTTTCCCTATTTCTGCATAATTGTGCTAATATACTAGCTAGGGCGGTTATATTTTAAATGGCATGTATATATTTAGCAGCATAATTATGCAAATTACATGTGTTTATGATTGTAAATACCCTTTAGGAGCAGTTACTTAGCATCTTGTCCTGAAACAATTTTTGAAGAATTCTGGTTGAAATGCTTAGAGTTTACTCCTGAATTTACTTCCCTGCTGTGTGAAGGTAGGTCTCATAAGTCTCCCTCACCAAGAAGAATAGTGCACAGTGGCAAAAAAAAAAAAAGTGTGGATTCTTCAGTGGACCTGGACATTTTATGCCATTTATTGGCTTTGTGGTCTTGGGAAAGTTACTTGGCCTCTCTGAGCCTCAGTTTCTGCATCTGTGAAATAGGGATGATACCTCTGTGGGTTGTCATGACAATGACTTCACATGATTGTCACAACTGGTCAGCACAGTGCCTGACTCAAAAAAGGCTCCATAACTGCTAGGTGACACCCACATCCCATTCTCCTCCTCCTCACACGTATTCCAGCAGCGTGACATGGCAGCCCAGTCACTGAGCTCTCCAAAGCTGAGCTCCCGGCAGATGGGGGGCAGGAAGGATGGTGCCAGCCTCGTGCCTCACCGCCAAGGGCATGATAGGGGGACAGGTGGGGTGCTGCAGGCAGAAGTTCTAGACTCAAGTTCTTTTCACTAGAGCATCGGTTTTCACTTTTGTCATGTGTCTTGCGGAGTAAGTGGGGGTGTTCAGGTCTTTCATAAGAGCGACTCTAAATGTAGAGGGTTGGGGGGTTGTGTCTGTGTGACGTGTGTGTTTGTGTGTCTGTGTGTACCTGTGCATACGTGTGGGGCTTCAGGAGAAGGAATCTAGCCAGCCTACATACACACCAGCACTCTAACTCTCCCCTCTAGAGGTGAGCCAGTTAACGGGTGAGGGGTCACCTTGCCAAGTGTGTGAGATAAAATTCTTCCTCGGCTATTTCACATTCTGGGGAATGAAAAATGTGAAAATGTAAAATTATACTCATAATTACAACCATATGTCAGAATATAGTAGTGATAAAGACAGTGTATTTCAGGTGAACATTACTCTTTTTTAGTCAGCTTTCCTAATATTTGTTATTCTGGAAATATGATAATTTTGATTTTCTGAAAAAGTTTTCTAACATGTAAAAGAGAAATCCATAGAATAAAGTGGTAATCTCTGAGGCTGGCAAATTCCTTTTAAAGAGAAAGTGGTTGGCCAGGTGCAGTGATTCATACCTGTAATCCCAGCACTCTGGGAGGCCAAGACGGGAGGATCACTTGAGGCCAGGAGTTCAAGACTAGCCTGAGCAACACAGTGATAGCCCAACTCTACTAAAAATAAGAAAATTAACTGGGCGTGGTGGCATGTGCCTGTAGTCCCAGCTGCTTGGGAGGCTGAGGCAGGAGGATCGCTTGAGCCCAGGAGTTGGAAGCTGCAGTGAGCTATGATGATGCCACTGTACTCTAACTGGGGCAATAGGCAAGACCCAGTCTCAAAAAAAAAAAAAAAAAAAAATATCGATGGTACTGAAAGCTCAAAGCTAAAATCCTTCAAGACTTTGATCAGGGATCCATACATAGAAGACTCCACAGATCAGCAGAAGGTTCTTTGCTTTGTTCTTTCTCATAACTCAATCCCTGGAAACATGAGACTCAATGATGTCCATTAAGTCGTGTGTGTGGGGACCACATGGGGACACCAAACTAGGTTCTGGGACAAAAGCAGACAAAATCCCTCAAACCCAGAGAGGTGGGAATAGTTTAATATGATCACGGCAGACTCAAGCTCTCGATCCTTTTCTACCCACAAAGCTGGGCAGCGTGTGTGTGTGTGTGTGTGGGGTGGGGAAGGATGATGGGATGGTGGGATTCAGGCTCTCAATACTACACGCTACAGATGGACTGTTTTTTATTGTTTCCTGGACTAAATTCTAACAGGTCTAAGTCCCACCCCGTCAGTGACACACCATTTCCCACCCAGAGCCTCACAGCCCTCTGCGGGGGACCAGTGTGTCATCCTTTCTGTGAAGCCCACAGCCCAAGCTTCCAAGCCTTCCGGCACATCTTAGTAGATTCCTCTCTAGTTGTGACATCGGTCGGCTTTAATGAGCCAGTCTGAGTGTTTATCCCATACCCTTCGGCTGTCCATGGCTATGAGAAGAGTCCCTTTCATTGATGCTTAGTATTTCACTTCCTAAAAAAATTTTCACTTTGTACTATTTTGCAATTCTTAATTTTTCTTAGTCCTACTTAATCAAGCCAGTCACCGTTGCCGTTTTTCTAACTCCATGAGAGAATAAGAATTTGTTGTTCCATGCATGACTCCAAAATTTTCACATTCATTTTCTTTCCATCCTCTTAAAATCATTCTGCTGTGACATTCCCTATGACTGAACAAATAAGGAGGGACAGACCTTTCATGATAAAACTCTGCTAAAGGGGACAGGGCTTTCTGACTTGTGTGTGAAAATGGTAAGGTGTACAGTTCACATTTCATTCACAATTTTGGTGTTCCTTTTATAAGGTTATGTAAGAATAAGATACTATCAATTTTAAGTAGGAGCAGTGGTTCTAATAAGGTATTGAGTAATTTGATAACTGGATCATATTTTTTATACATTTTCTGATCCATGTATAACAACAGGTAACATCTTTAACCTTTTTTGGACTCAGTTTCTCTGATTAGATTTTTATGATTATCATAATTATGTTGACTTCTTTGAACCAACTCAGGCTAGGGAAATTCTCTCTATCCAAATGAGCTTTTCTATTACTGTATTAACTTTAGAAGATTTTCAAGATATAATAGGAAGGCTCTGGACTATTATAAATATATATATATATAATATATATATATATATTTAAAAAGAAATTTAGATACCCAAAAGTAGAAAGTAGAAATTTAGAAATTCTGCTGATTTCAATGCCACTCCCGAACACGTCTTAACTCCAAACCATTTTTTCATGCAAATTCGATTTTCATCGTCCTAGAAGACAGATCATGACACATCGTTTCTATTTTCCCACCACCAGATGAGAAAACGAAATTGCACTCCACAAAGATAAACACAAACTGCCATTTCAAACAGGTAAAACTGGAACCTCTCACTCCTTAGTTTCAGTGGTAGATCAATTATTAGGATGTCTTGATCTATTTGTCTGAATGGTTTCCGTTAATCGCAATTTTCTTCCTAATTATTTCGACTTATAGGAAAAATAACGCTGTTAGAACCACGCTCCAGCGGCTGCTGTTGGCGTACACCTGTCCTCCACAAACACGGCTGTCGGCGTGCCTAGCTTAGCCCCCAGCGATTTAGAAACCCTTTGCCAAAAAGGACAACCGTGACACCACTCTGTCCTCCACGGCCCCCCGGGCACTCTGCATTTGTTCTCTTGGTTTCACCTCTGCAGAGCAGCCCACGCACAGACCGCCCTCGGCCGCCTCCCCAGCCCTTACCTGGTCTCTCTGTCTTTGGGTATCGTAGCAGTGCTGTAAGCAAACACCTGCTTCTCAACCAGAGGAGGGCCAAAGTCCACGATGCCGGATAATCCTGGAGCGTTCCGTGGCTTTTCTATGTACACCAAGGTGCCCGGCTCCTTTTTAAAGGACTGGCGGCTGGGCGAGGCCCGGTCGGGCTGCAGGGTGTGCGGGGGCCCGTGGGCGTTGTAGTGAGCGTGCACGTCTATCATCCTCAGGTCGCCGACCCGGTGGGGAGAGGCGGGCGGCGTTTTGGGGCCCAGCGTCGGCAAATGGCTATCCGGGTATTTCCTCGACTTCTGCCTGTACAGCGACTGCTCCATGTGCATCTCGGCTTGCAGAGACGGGTTGCAGTAAGCACTGGCCGACCGGATGGCCGTGCGGTGGTACGCGATGATGTGATCGGGGACGTCCAGCGGGTGGCCGCCGTGGGACGAGGCGATGCTCATCCGGCCCTCGTGATAAAGGTAAGGGTCGGCATAGAAACCCTCGTTCCTGTACATCGTGATGTTTTTGCCACCCATGTCTTCGTCTGGCTTGACGTCTCTCCTTTCCAGAATGGCGCTCGGGCTTGGTGAGATGGGTCTGGAGACCGGGAGGCTGGAGAGCCTGTCCCTGGGGATGGTGGCGTTGCCGGGAACCACCATGGGGCGCGTGCCCCCATAAGGGATTCTGGATGGGGAGGGAGGCATGGAATGCGGCACGGGTGTGGACGGCGGGGAGTTGGGAATCACGTGGGGCGGGTGGGCCGTCGATCCAGGCCGAGAGGCGCCCGGGCCATCCCCTCTTGCAAAAATGATTTCTCTCTGCATCTGGAAAGAGAGCAAGGAATTAGAAAGTCTACTTGGATAGTCACATTTTTTAGACAAGTCTCAATGTGTGACCATGTCGCTTCCTGGGTGTGGGAGTCTAAACAGTGCCTGTCCCCTGCAAGGTGTCCATCTACACCCTGGTCGCTGGAACCTGCAAATGCATTCCTTTACGCGGCCAAGGGGACTTCGCAGATGGAATGAGGTTAAGGAGGGTGAGACGGGAGAACAGAATCCAGGTGGCTCCAATGCAGTCACGCGGGTCTTTGCGGAAGAGGGAGGCAGGAATGTCAGTGGGGTGGGGGCAGCTGTGATGTCGGAAATAAAGTCAGAGAGAGAAACGGGAAGGTGGCCAGAGGCGGGGCCGAGAGCCAAGGAAGGAAGGTGGCTGCTAGCCTCTGGGCATGCAAGGACAGGGATCGTCCCCTACAGCCTCCAGAGCGAGTGTGGCCCTGCCACACACGGCTGGTGGCCTGTAAAACCCACTTTGGACTTCTGACCCCCACAACTGTAAGACAGTACATTTCTGGAGTTTTCAGCCATGACTTTTGCAATAATTTGTGACAGCAACCATAGGACAGGAACACCCCCCTACATAGCACAACGCTGTGGGGTTTGCAGGGAAAATAGTGCCATGGTTTACATTTTGAGGTCGCAGTGTTTAATAAATGTGGAGCTAGTGTATCCATAGAGCTGCACTCAATGTCTTCTAAAACTTGTCTCTAGCACGTTTTCCTGCTGTCAGCTCTGGGAAACAGTTAGTAACCACGTTCCCCATCTGTGAAAGCTGACACAATCTGGGGACATGACCAGTGAGGAAGAGGAGATGCACGAGGAACAAGTGGAGGGAAGTTCCATTCATTCACCAGCTCTTTATCTGAGCCTGTGGGAAACTAGCACCGAGGCTGGGAGGAAGTGAAAACTCAAGAGGTCAGAGTGCAATTACGGTTGACCCTTGAACAACATTGGGTTTGAACCACATGTGTGTATGCAGATTTTCTTCTGCATCTGTCACCCTGGAGACAGCAAAACCAAGCCCTCCTCCTCTTCCTCCTCCCCCTCCCCCTCCCCTCCCCTTCCTCCCTCCTCCTACTCAACTTGAAGAAGATGAGGATGAAGACCCTCATGGAGACCTACTTCCACTCGATGAATAGCAAATATATTTTCTCTTCCTTATGACCTTCTAAAGAACATTTCCTTTTCTCTAGCTTACTTTGTTGTAAGAATGCAGTATAAATCTGTGGCAATTAACAGTTTACGTTATTGGCAAGGTTTCCAGTCAACAGCAGGCTATCAGTGAAGTTTTGGGGGAGTCAGAAGTTATACGTGGGTCTCTGACTGCGGGGGTCGGCGCCCCTCTCCACCGCACCGTTCAAGCGTGAACTGCATTTGCAGCCGCACCCTGTGTCTGGAAGGGGCAGGACTAAACACTGCAAATTCATGGAGGACATGATTACTGGATACATTTTTGCTTTGGTCAAGGCCCCAGAGGGAAAGGCCCACTAAGATTCTCCAAATGGCTGCGAGGGAAGGACAGACGGCCCTGGCCCATCCCCCAAATGCTAGCCGTGCCATCACAGGACCCACGTCCCTGCCCTGACTGCCAGGAGATGCGACAGCAAGGAGGGTGTAAGCGGTTGCGAAGTGATGAGGAGAGACGAGGGGCTTGACCAAGATGAGCAGCGGTGAGCGGCAGAGACCCACAGCGTGGGTGACGGTGTGGGTGACGGTGTGGATGATGGCATGGGTGACACTGTGGGTGATGGTGTGACAGTGTGGCTGACACTGTGGGTGACAGTGTGGGTGACGGTGTAGGTGACACTGTGGGTGATGTCATGGGTGACACTGTGGGTGATGGTGTGGGTGACAGTGTGGGTGATGGTGTGGGTGATGGCATGGGTGACACTGTGGGGTGACACTGTGGGTGATGGTGTGGGTGACACTGTGGGGTGCCACTGTGGGTGATGTCATAGGTGACAATGTGGGTGACGGTGTGGGTGCCACTGTGGGTGATGTCATGGGTGACACTGTGGGTGATGTCATGAGTGATACTGTGGGTGACAGTGTGGGTGATGGTGTGGGTGATGGCATGGGTGACACTGTGGGGTGACACTGTGGGTGATGGTGTGGGTGACACTGTGGGGTGACACTGTGGGTGATGGTGTGGGTGACAGTGTGGGGTGACACTGTGGGTGACGGCGTGGGTGACAGTGTGGGTGACGGTGTAGGTGACACTGTGGGTGACACTGTGTGTGATGGCGTGGGTGACACTGGGTGATAGTGTGGGTGACAGTGTGGGGTGACAATGTGGGTGACAGCGTGGGTGACACTGTGGGTGACGGTGTGGGTGACACTGTGTGTGATGGCGTGGGTGACACTGGGTAATGGTCTGGGTGACAGTGTGGGTGACACTGTGGGGTGACACTGTGGGTGACAGTGTGGGTGATACTGTGGGTGATGGCGTGGGTGACACTGTGTGTGATGGTGTGGGTGACACTGTGTGTGATGGTGTGGGTGACAGGGAAAAGACAGTAGAAAAGGCTGCAAAGGAAACAGAGCCCAATGCCCTGAACACAAATCAACTGATTCCTTATCACAAAATGCATTTGTTTAGCAAACAGGACTCACCGAGCACTTGCAAAGAGGCCCGCATTACTCTGGGATACAGTTCTGAACAAGCCCCCAAGTCCCTGCCATGGAGAGAGCACACTCTTTTGTACATCTGTCTCATAGATGACAACGCGAGGAAGAACCCACGGGGACTGGGGCTTCCTTATCTTGTTCCAGCCCTGCAAAAGCCCCAACCTGGGAGTTTTACATATTATGGTGGATTTCATAAGGCAAGTGACCAATTAAAAGTGCAAACACTTATGTGCACATACGGAAATAACAGTCAGCAGGTGTCGGGCAGGTGGGGGGAAGGTGAATTCACACCTACTGGGCGTGGGGCGCACTTGCTAGGGGCTGGGCATGCTGCAGCTCTGAGTCGGGCAGTGCGAGGGCAATACAGGCAACCAAAGGGTTTGCACCCCATAATATTCTGGAAAAAAGTGGAAACAAGGTGCAAATGTGTGGCAACAAAACGAAGCCCACTGAGCACCATTACACTGGCCTCGGGGCTCCTGTGTCTGGGGCCCCTGGAGTATGCAGTGAGTCCCCTCCTCACAATTACAGTTTAATCTCCACAGCCACACACACACACACACACACACCCACACACACACACACACACACAGTTCCCACCACAATAAGCTCATCTGTTCTCCCTTCTCTAAATACAACTTGATCCTCAAACTTTTTAAACGGAAAAAAAAAAAAATAAAAAAAAAATAAATACAACTTGCCACATGCTCGCGCTGTCCTCACCCTGGGACTCTCTGCCCGCGTCCCAGCCCCTATGGTCCACACCCAGGCCCTGGCTTGAAGCTGGACTCCAGGTGCGTCTGCTCCGCCTGGTCCCTTCCGGGGCGTGCTCGCACCATCCTCACCCTCGTGACGCAGGTGTCCACTGCCTTGGACCAAGAGGGACAGTCCCAAGGTCACTGTGTGATAATACACGAGATGGATTCTCACTGCAGAATGGCTGGAGCGACCATGTGACAGAGGTTTTGCAGAAAACCAACAGGGAACCTCAACCTTCCTCTCCCACTCTGACTCCCACGATTCGGAGCTCAGTAAGAAGGAAGGCGTGGCTCGACAGTAAACGACACCCGGCTTCACAGGTCAGAAAGCACAAGAGGGACTGGCTCGGCGAGCAGCGGATATCTGGGCAAATTCCCCACATAATCACATCACGCAATGAAATAATCAACCAACACAAACGTCAAGATGAATTCATCACATCGACTCAAATAGGCCACTGTGTATAAAGCATCACACCAGCGCTCAGGGCAGATCAGGTGTAACAGATGGTAGGGAGGTCCTATTATCCTGACTGTTATTAATTCCCCCCCAAAAAAGATCGAAAACATCTAGAACTCGTTTGGGTTATACAATAGTCCTAAATGGGTTAGTCACTACTCCCTCTTTTTACCCCACTTAGCTGGCTTTAGATGACATCATGATTTGGGGGACCTTGACCCCAATGAACACAAAGCAGAAACCTCCCTCTTTCTGGCGAGAGGCTAAAAGGAGACATTATGATTCTAGGGTGTATAGAACCATCTAGAAGGATATAGAATATTAATACAAGCAATATGTAAAATCAATTTTAATTAATGAAAGCTTGAGTAAATATCCTTTAAAAGAGTACAAAGTATCTGCACAGATATTTTAAAAATATGTTTGGTGATGTGCAAAAAAAAAAAATGGTCAGGAGGTACATTATATAAAAAGCTTTTAAAATGAAACATTAAAAATCTCATTAGACTTCCTGGTGGCATGTGTAGATGAGATCCAAAAGCAATATAATAATTAATTAAAAATAATTCTGAAACACTGTGTTAGGCATTCCTATGGGGGATGTTGATGATATTGAAAATATTTAATAGCCAATATCCAGGATGGCACGGGGACCAGCCAACCAGGACAGGACCTCAGCCAATGAGGATGGACCTGAGCCGTGAGCAATTGGCACCGTGGATCCGGCGGTAATGGTGTGTATCAAAATCATCTTGCCACCATCCAAAAGGGTCACTGAAAGAATCGCTGTTAACCTTAGTTATCCACAGTGGGGCTGAGTACAAGGATTCGGTTGTGATAGAACAGGTAAGCCGAGGTTGAATGCCTCCAACAATACGGGCGACTTAGAGGTTGGAAACCTTTGGCAGAATCCTTATGTTGGTTTGCCAAGCTATGACTGACTTCCCAAGGCTGAGTTTTAAAAAGAACCCTGATCATTTCATCCTCACCTCTAAATAGAGTCCGGGAAGAGAATGACATAATGATCCCATTTTACAGTGCAAATTTTTTTTAAACCCACAACTAGAATGAACCCTTGAAACTAGATAACTTGGGTTGATATATTAAAGGATACAGATCAACCAAAGGCACTCACTCTTAGG